AGGGTCAAAATAGTCATTCGAAAGAGCCAAGCCGGATGTACCGTAAGCCACCGTAAGAATGTTCGAGAAGACCCAGTTGTGGAATCGTCTCGGCCGCCGTCGGGCCCCACAAGCGCTGACGTGCCATGACCAAATTGGCCACTTCGCCCGTGTGAATCTGGACATCTGTCAAGGAAGACAAAAAATGACGTCGGGAATAATGATTGGTTACACGAGTGAGGTCTCGCGTGTGAACCCGTGGGTCCCAGTATGACAGCTGGCTGGCACGTACGCCATTTAACGACAGCGTAGAATGCCGCCGGTTCGTGAGTCAGACTAACGGGGCGCCCAATCATTGCCCACCCCGCTCTCTCTCTAAATTTTCGCATTCTCTCTCCAAAACTTTCTCACTCTAACCTACCCTCTAAAGTTAGCATTCTCTTTCTAAACTTTCTCTCAAATCCTCGCCTCGCCATTGACATTGCAAACGTGGTGTGTGGTATCATAAATAGAATGCTACTAAATTTTTTGAAAAATAATATTCTACCCATCTAAATAAAAATATATATTTTTATTTGAAAATATTTATATTACAAAATTCAAGGGTATTGATGTGTCAAAAAATACGGAAGACTTTAAAAATATACCCTAATAAAACCTTTACATATATATAAGGTTACAACATTAAACAATCCAATTAAGGTGCACCTTAAAATTTTATCATAACATATAATTTTATTGTAAAAAATTATTTGTAGTATCTTAAAATCTATTTTAATAGGTAATTAGAAAATTTTAAATTCTAAAAATGGTTAAAATCTTGAAATTGACAGTCTAGATAATGTGTTTCAAGATGCACTATTTTTTGGACTCAAAAACAAATTTTTTTTTTCATATTCGTACATCTCGATGTCAAGATGATCAATTAGAGGGTTTTTTCAACATTAAAACAACATTTCCGATAGATTTTTGAGGTGCATATGTGATTCTACATTTAAGGTTGCAACCTTATATAAATTTTTTCCTCTATATAATTTTTTTTTTAAATATCCAGCTCAGTGTTCATAAAACCGATCGGTTACAACCGGAACCGGCTGGTTAGATCGCTACCGATGGGATGGCGAGTCCGGTTAGGGCCGGTTTTACGGCACACCTCATACGACGACACTCTCCAAAAAAAATCGGCACCAAAACCGGCCGGTTCGAGGTCGAACTGCCAGTTTTTAGTCTAAACCGACCGGTTTTTCCTAACCAGTATGGTTTACCATTTTAACGCCTGATATAACATCGTTTTCAAAACATCAAATAACAGTTGTTATTTGATACATGCTTGTTATTTTTCACAGAACAAGATTTTACAGTTTTTTTTTGCATATTTTTGGTTTTCTTGGGTCAATTATTGATGTTAATACACTGAAAAGTTTTTATTAATCATCGATTATTGAATCAAAATTCCAAAAACAAAAACTTCTTGGCGGATTAAAATGGGGATTTTTGAAAATTATAAATTTCCGTCATTCTATTAAATGCAGCTTCATTACCTCATAAATTTTCATAAAAATGGAGGACTTTGATTCATTGTTGAAGGATTCAACGTTCACGTATTTCAATTTCTCCAGAACGATGAAGATTTGAGGTTTTTTTGGGCCTGAAGTACCGCTGCTCGAAGAACTATTTTTTATCCAAACAAATTGATTTCTGATCAATCAATTGATCAAATTTTATCGAATTGATCACTAAAGTTTGATCATAAAGGCCTCATGTATCAAATAAACTAGTTATTTTGATTTACAATTGATTAAATGTTTTTATATCGATTTTTTTTGCTGCGTTTTTTTTGTCAAATTTTCGTGAAGTGAAAAATCTGCAATTTTCTGAATAAAGATCTCAATCGTGATTGAATCTTCATGAAATTTAGGGCATTTGAATCTTAATTAAAGTATCTATCATATCCCCATGTCAATTTGTTCAAACAATGAAAGATTTGTGGTTGATTTCAACTCTAAAGTTTATGTGTTCTTTGGCTCGATTTTAGGGTTCTTAAAAAAAATTTATTTTTTAATAAAATTAC